AGTTAACTTAAAAGAAAAGAAAAGGGGGGTAAACGCGAACTGAGATAGAAAGGAATCGAAAAGACTTATTTATAAGTATATAAAGTATACTAATTCTTCTAGAAGAAAGTTAGTCTTCTTTACTTTTTCTAAGTAAACGAGAACGACAGCGTTAGTACTTTTAGGAAGTACTTCCTCTTTCAAGAGAGTTTTAGCCCGGACTCTGATCTCTTCGGAGACTTTCTTAATAGTAAGGAAGATTTAGGCCTATTTCTCTTCCGAGATAGAGCTGTTATAGATATACTAGAAATATAGAAGTTTATACTCGCAAATAAATAGAACTTAGAAGATCTAAAACTAGTCAGTAACAAACTTGAACGAAGGGGTCTCGAATATAAATAATACTAGGAAGTAAACAGACTTCTAAGCTTAGTAATAAGTACACTTACAGTTACTAACTATATTAAAGTTATAAGCTATATAAACTTTAGTAGCTATATATTTAGTATAACGTAAACAGAGACAGCAGGTTAACGAAGGGGCAGCGGGGACGAGGGGGGCCAGAGTTGTACTGGAGATACTAGACATAGTAGTAGTAGTAGTTGTAGTTGTAGTTATAGTTATAGTTACAGTTATAGTTGCAGTTGTAAATAAAGGAAAGAAAGAAGTAGTTCGGAAAAGGAAGCTTGAATATATACTCCTGGGCCTTTTATTACTATTGTCGACTTATAATTAGTTTTTACTATTGTCTTTGTTATTGAAACTATTCACTATTCTCGCTACGACAGCCGGATTATACGAAAGTGCCCCGGAACTTCTACGAGAAGAGCGTTTTAGCTATTGTCTCTGTCATTTAACTAGCTAAGAGTAATTGTTATAGTAGAACTATCAAGTTATAATACTTGAGAAAGTAATACGAATACTTACTAGTACAACTCCGACTTGTTCCGACTTTTAGAGATAAGAGCTCTAGAGAGAAGAGTTATATCAGGAACGTATACCTCTGTCAGAAGGAGTACTTGAAGGAAGTTACAAGATCAGCGAAGAAAGTCGTTTAAATATACTACAGCTGAAACTAGTTGGCAGAACAAGTTAAACGTTATCTCGTGACTATAGTACTCCGACTTAAAAAAAAGAGGACTAACCCCCTCTTTAGAGAAAGCTAGAGATTAGTTTACGTAATAATACGAGTGTTTATTATCGATCGTGATTCTTTATTATACAAGTTCTTATATTATACAAAGTCAGCAAAGAGTTCTTTTCGTCAAAGTCTAGAGTTAGATTTGTTTTATAGTAATCAAACTTTCGAGATAGTCTATTAACAGAGTTAATCTTACTTGTATAATACTTTATTATAAAGTCAAATTCAACTAAACTTTCAGTTTATTTAGTTTGTCGGTTATTTAACTTCTTCTTAGTTATAAAGTATTTCAGATTATTATAATTAGTCTGAACTACAACTATTTCGGGAACTCCCCGAAAATATTACTCTTATTACTTAAACGTAAATACTATAACTATTAGTTCTCGATTATAGACTTCGTATTTTTATTTAATAGAAGTTAGTTTCTTTGAATAGAAAACGATAAAGTATTATCTTACTTCTATTCTTTCCCCGAATAGTTAAGAGAAAATCTCTTTAATAGTGAATAAAGAAATATCGACTTCGACTCAGATTTATAACAATAGATTAAAATACTTAAATATTAGTATTTGTAGGAATTAGTCTTTGAAGAACTTGAATGTAGTAATCGTACTAGTTATAAGTCGAAGTATTTCCGACTTTTTATTATATTCTATATTCTTGAAAAACTCTGTCAAAAGAAGTAATAACTTCGAATAACTTTATATAAAATACTTATAAAAATTAGTAAATCTTAGAAATACTTGAATATCTTTGAACGTTTCTAATAAAAACTAGTCCTAGATAGTTTCAACTTGCGACGAGTCTATTCTAACTTTATCGGGCTCTACTATAAAGTCTAGAAACTCTACTATATCAGTGCCGAATATATACTTCTGTAAATTAGTATATAGTCTATAAATATATAATCTTTCAAAAACTTCTCGAATTACTTCCGAGTACTTTCCGGAATCTTCCGAGAATATTAGAATATTATCCAAATATATTATATAAATAACGTCAACTAATTTTATAAATATTTAATTAATATATATTTAGAAAGTTGTAAGAATATTTAATAGTCCGAATAATAAAACACAGTATTCGAAGTAGTTGTATTAAGTCCGAAACACTATCTTCTACTTGTCTTTTTCTTTTATTTATATTCAATAATATATATCTTTGAAATCGAACTTCGTAAATATCTTCGTTCTATATAACTAGTCTAATATTTCGCTAATTAAAAGTAAAAGAATCCGATTTTTAATTGTAACTATATTGAGTTTTTAGTAGTCGACGTAGAGTCGGAAACTTTATCTTTCCTTTTTAAATACAAATAAAATAAGAGTTTCTACTAAACTCGTCGATCGATATATCTATCTTTTCTCTATATTCGTCTTGAGATATTCTTATAAGATTACTAACTCTATTTCCGACAAAGAGTATACAAAGTCCTAAAATAGTTCCGAGTCAAATGTTAATTCAATTCAGTATTTTATAAAATAGTATTCTAGTAAAATACTAGTAGCTTTTATATCGAAAATGTCTTTATACTTCTTGTATAAAGCTAAGAACTTCCCTGTTCTTATTTCTACTATTTTGAGAACTATATAGTAAATAACTTTTTTCTTATATTCTTTTTTAAAGTATTTCGTTATAAGTAAACGAATCTGAACTTTTCTGAAAAAGTATTACTACTATTTTATATTCTAAATAATAACTAAATCTATTTACTATAATTAGAGAAATTTTAAAATAAAAAATATACTAAATATATTGAAATTATATATTACGAAGTTATATCAGTTCTATTTCGAGATATTTTTGTTGTTAGTAATATTAACTTTAAGTTTATATTTCTTATAAAAGAGAATTTCTTACTTTTCGACAGAAGTTAAAGAAATATTGTTATCTATAGAAAACTAGTCCTACTAAATAATTAGAAACTATTTAATAGTATTCTATTCAATTCTACTATTTACTAATATTTATTCTATTATAATTCCTCTTTCGGAAGTTCGTAATTAGATTGAAATAATAATTTGTTATTTTACTTCTATTTCGTTTAACTAGAATATATTTAATATTATAACTAAATAAATCTATTTCTTATTTATCTCAGTTTCATATAATTCGTAGAAATATAACTTTTCTTATAGTAGTTATAATACTTTACTTCAGAATATTAACAAGAATAATATTAAATAGATTTATAACAAAAGTATTTATATTCTCTTTAAATCGAGTTAGTTCCGACTTTTATAAATATTTGATTTATATTACTAAATGAGTTTTAGTATTATTCGAGTCTTTTTAGTTTAATATTTCGTAAATATTACTCAGAGTAATCTTATTTCGGCAAGTTCCTAGTTATTTTGTAATAATTTAACTCGTTTCGAGTAAAAATAATATTTTCTTTCTCCGAGTTCTCTATTCGTCGAACTAGTACTAAGAATACTTTCTAGTTCTTTAAAATCTTAGTATAGAAGTTAATTCTTTTTTTAATATCTATATATAGTTTAATATATAAAAACTATTATTTATATTAGTCGTTAATAATTCCTAGTTCTTTCTTTAAACTATTTAAATAAATAACGAAATTGTCGACTAACTATTTATTTCTTTACTGAACTTCCTAGTATTTATTAGTAATATTAAAAATATAATTATTTTTGTCGATAATAAAATTAAAAAAGAACTTTTTAAATTTATTTTATATAATTATTCTAACTTTTATTTTATTTTCGAAAATAGTTTATTTCTGTTCTAGTTTTATTTCGAATAAGAAAATATAGAAATCGATTTTAGTTTAATTTATCGAATAATAATATTTATTATTTTATTTGAATTATTTTTCTATTTTAGTTATAAAAGTTTAAACTTCTTATATATTTTTCTTTTTATATAAAAATATTTTAAGAACTTTAAATATAAAGTATTTTTAGTTCGTCGTTATATTAATAAATTAATAGTAAGTAGTCGTTATCTAAATTACACTATCTTTAGTTATATTAATTCTATTACATTTTCAGTTTAATATTAAATTATTATTATCTTTTTTATAACTTTTTATTTCTAAAATATTATAAAATTCTTTTTCGAACTTTTAGTAAATTTTTACTATTTCTTCGAGTTCTTCGATTTAGGTCCAAACTATTCTATAAATCTACATCTATTCTTTCTTTTACTCGATTTACTCGCTAAATTATTTAATCTATCTCGTTTCCGAGTCGAGTTCGTCTGTGAAACTATCCTCTTCGTTCTTTGCGATAAAGAATAAGAAGTTTTATAATCTTTCAAAAATTACTTTTCCTACTTAAGTTTTTCTTTCTTAGAAAGTCATCGTCTCCAGCTCGTTAGTAGATCGAGTAATAAAGTGTTTGTCTAAGTTCGAAGAGTTTCCTTGAACTCTTTCTTTACTCTTTGATCTTATTATTTCTAAGTCGATTTCGAGTCAGCTCCGAGTATTCTCCGATTCGTGACAAACTATCTCCTAGAAGGAATAGAAAGATTAGAATATAAAGACTTATATAATAAAGAATTACAATTAGTAGTAAATACTCGTATTATTATACAAACTAATCTCTAACTTCTTCTAAAAGGGGAAATTAGTCCCTTTTTTTAAGTCGGAGTACTACAGTCACGAGATAACGCCTAACCTGTTCCGCCAGCTAGCTTCGGCTGTAGTATATTTAAACGACCCCCTTCGCTGATCCTGTGACTTCTTTCGGGCACTCCCTCTAACAGAGGTATACGTTCTTGACAGTTATTTGATGAAGTTTCTGAAGAGCTTACTAAGGCGGTTACGGAGGCGGCGGACCTAAGTATCCCAAAAAGGAAGGTAGGGGCTAGGGCTAAGCTTTGGTAGAACGACAATCTGAAAGAACTACGCCAGAAAATGATTCGGAATCAACGAACGTTTATCCGGTATAGCTATAACTATACTGCTAAACGCGACTACTTTATAGCTAAAAACACCTACTTTTTAGCTATAAAGCAGGTAAAACGGAGCCACTGGAACGACTTTCTTGAAAAGGAGGATCCGAAGACTATTTTCAAGGCTATGGCCTATACTAAGGACCGACAGATCGAACTAATACCGCCTATCCAGGCTAGTACCGATCCGGAACACCTAGAGTCCTCATTTGCCGGCAAATGTAACGCTTTTCGCTCTACGCTCTTCCCACCGCCCCCTGAAGCTCCAAAGCCAACTTGGAATAGCTATACCCCTTCGAATAAATAGCTTTGGCTTAACTTAACTATACCGGAGCTGGCTACCGCTTGTACGACTAAGCTTAAGGGCAAAACACCTGGACCGGATCTAATTACGCAAATAATTATTCAACACGCCTATTACGCTATTCCGGAAGTCTTCTTTAGGCTCTTTTCGGCTCTAATTGACGTTGGATACTACCTTACTTGCTGGAAACAAGCTACTGGAGCGATTCTCAAAAAGCCAGGAAAGCTTAATTACACTTTACCTAAAGCGTATAAAGTAATATCACTCCTCAATTGCTTAGGCAAAGTCAGCGAACGGATTCTAGCTCAACGATTAGGCTATTTAGCTGAAACAACTCAACTACTCCACCTTAGTCAAATAGGGGGTAGGCTCAAAAAGTCAGCTATTGACGCAGCTTTGCTCTTCAATAACGAGGTCGAAATAGGCCTAAAGCGGAAGCAAAAAACGTCGGCTTTGCTATTAGACGTCAAAGGAGCCTTCGATCACGTAGCTAAGAATCAGCTATTATCGATACTCAAGGACCTACGCCTACCTACTAGCTTAGCTAGCTGGGTACAGTCGTTCCTGAGTAATCGCTTATTACGCCTAGCTTTTGATAGCCAAATAGAGCAATTCGCTAGCCTCAATACTGGAATCCCCCAAGGTTCTCCGATATCCCCTATCCTGTTCCTTATTTATATAAGGAGTCTCTTCACCGGTATAGTTACAGCTCGCCCACTCTCCTACATCGACGATATAGCTCTTATAGTTACTACACCTAACTATACGAGTAATATCAAGATACTAGAGAGAGAAGCAGCTAGGCTATTTGATCAAGGGGCTAAAAGTGCAATTCAATTTGATCTTGCAAAGACCGAACTAATCCACTTTGGGCCGAGTAAAGCCAAGCTACGCCTACCGGATCAAACTCGAATAGAGCCGAAACAGCTAGTTAGGTAGCTCGGCATTTGGTTTGATCGAAAACTTACTTATAAAGAGCACCTCAAAATCCGAATAGCTCAAGCTAAATCGGCATTCCTACGCCTAGCCCGCCTAGCTAATACTGAGCGCGGCTTATCACCAGCAGTTATACGCCAGCTATATATAGCCTGCGTAACGAGTATTGCCGATTACGGATCAATTATCTGGTGGCGTGGCCAAGCTAGCTTCAAAAAGCGACTCCAGGAGTTCCAAAACCTAGCTTTACACAAGATATTAGGGGTATTCAAAACAGCCCCTATTATACTAATAGAAGTGGAAGCCAGTTTACCCCCCTCTGAAATCTGGCTTAATAGCTCAATCCGGCAATACGTTCTCCGGCTTACTAGGCTTTCTAAAAACCACCCAGTTAATTTAGAAGCTAGTAAGAATACTGAACGAGCTAGTGCCGATTTAGCCAATAGATCAATAACTAGGCAATATTTAGCTAATTCGGAACCCGACGATACTGAACCAACTTTAGCTATACAGCTAGACCGGATTACCAGCTCAATTAACTGTATAGTTAGCTATAACTACGAACGGATCCAGCACTTCCAATTCCCCCCCTAGGCCCGAAAAACACCCTATTCGGTCGAAATCAGTCAATTGCCCAAAGAAGAAGAAGCTGTAGCTCATAATACCCGAATATCGATCCCGAATACCCGGATTACTCACGTTTACTCTGATGCTTCCTATATACCTGACGGTATAGGTGTCGGGGTCGGTATAGTTATACCTACCCAGTATAGTAGTATAGTTAATATCGGAGCCCAACAGCTTGTTTATAATAGAGAACTTGAAGGAGTTACACAGGCTATTGAGTACGTTAGCTCAATAGCTATACCCCGGCAAAAATACCGGATCTACTCCGACAACCAAGCTGGACTATACTGCCTGAAAACACCCAGCGATAACCCCGGCCAAGCTTGCCAAATCAGGGCTATTCAGGCTACCGAAGCAGCAATCCAAAAAGGGGCTAGTATCGAGCTAGCTTGGGTACCAGGGCATACTGATATCGAAGGAAACGAGCTTGCCGATCGCTTAGCTAAGCGAGCTACACTTGAAGAGCCTAGCTCTAACAGTACTAGCTTCGTTTACCTAAGTATGAAAATCAAGGGAATTTGCAGGGCAGAGTGGTTAAGTTATATAAATAACTATACGACAAACAAGCCCAATTCCAACCTACTTAGCTATACCCGCAAGTTTATCTGGAAAATAGAGGCTAGACCCCTAATTCCACCTAATACGAAAAGAGAAATAGCTAGTACCTTTTATCAGCTCAAGCTAGGCCACAGATACCTCAAATCGTACCTATTTAGGCTAGATCGCTCTAATAGCGATCTGTGCCGGTGCAGTAAGAGAGAGACCCCCGAACACTTACTCCTTAGCTGTTCGGAGCTCAAAGGGGCTAGATCGGCACTCAAATCGGAACTTAGGGGGGTTAGGCTCACCCTACCCCTGCTATTACACACTAAGGTCGGAATAGCAGCGATGATTAGCTTCCTAAAGGAGACTAGGATCGTAACGAGGCGGTGGCACTTGGAGAGAGCGGAGGAGGAGTAACTTAACTATACGGAGCTATAGTTAAGTGTTTCGGTCATTTTACTGTTTTTCATTTATTTAGTACTGTTTTTATTAAAGCTTGGCTCTCACTGTCCCTAGAATATATTGACTCTCAATCTTGTATTTACAATAGCTTGTTAGAGCTCTAGCTCTAACCGTCCTACTATAGTCTTCGACTTACAAAGGACGTTAAAAGGAATAAACAAACAAACATACTATACCAGGGGGTAGTAGGTATAGCTATACCCACTCCAACACTTATACTGTCGGGTATATAGGAAGCGTCGGAGTAAACGTGGGTAATTCGGGTATTCGGGATCGATATCAGGGTATTGTGAGTTACAGCTTCTTCCTCTTTAGGCAATTGACTGATTTCGACCGAATAGGGTGTTTTTCTGGCCCAGGGGGGGGGATTGGAAGTGCTGGATTCGTTCGTAACTATAACTAGCTATACGGCCAATTGAGCTAGTAATCCGGTCTAGCTGTATAGCTAACGTTGGTTCGGCAAATTCGAGTTCCGAATCCGAATTCAAATCCGAGTCCGAATCCGGTATAGCTAGGTATTACCTAACTATTGATCTGTTAGCTAAATCGGCACTAGCGCGTTCGATATTCTTACTAACTTCTAAATTAACCGGGTGGTTATTAGAAAGCTTCGTAAGTCGGAGAGCGTATTGCCGGATTGAGCTATTGAGCCGGATTCCAAGGGGGGGGGAAGCTTGCTTCCACTTCTATTGGTATAATAGGGGCTGTTTTGAATACTCCTAATATCTTGCGTAAAGCTAAGTTTTGGAGTTCCTGGAGTCGCTTTTTGAAGCTAGCTTGGCCTCTCCACCAAATAATCGATCTGTAATCGGCAATACTCGTTACACAGGCTATATATAGCTGGCGTGTAGCTGCTAGTGATAAGCTGCGCTCAGTATTAGCTAGGCGGGCTAGGTGTAGGAATGCCGATTTAGCTTGAGCTATTCGAATTTTGAAGTACTCTTGTAGGTGAGTTTTCAATCAAACCAAATGCCGAGCCACCTAACTAGCTGTTTCGGCTCAATTCGGGTTTGATCCGGCAGGTGTAGCTTGCTTGGCTTTACTAGGCCCGAAGTGGATTAGTTCGGTCTTTGCAAGATCAAATTGAATCGCACTTTTAGCTCTTTGATCAAATAGCCTAACTGCTTCTCTCTCTAATATTTTAATATTATTTTTCAGTTCCAGGAGAAGTTATAGGTGCCAGCGGATCCCACTAAGAGTGGTGGATATTGAAGTCTCCGGCTACTACAGTATTGGGGCCTAGGGCTCTAGGGTATAGTACCCGATTAACTGTACGTAGGTCCGAATTACCTAAATCCCGCTTGTTATAGATATTCAGGAGTTGAATAGTCGCGTTTTCTTCCGAAATATCTAAAACAACTAAATCTGGGTCGTTTGGTGAAGAATTAGCTATATAGCAAGAAGGCCTAAACTTTCTAGCTATATAAGCTAACGTACATGGCCGTAAGTGAGTTTCCGGCAGAATTTGAGTAAATCCAGAGTAGAGAACTGAACAGGTATTGCCTGGAACTAGCCAGGGCTCCTGAACAAGTAATATATCCACTTTCGTCTCTACAGCTAGCTGTAGAGTACTCTCCGTAGCTTCGGCGCTACAGTTCAGATTCACTTGTAAAACTTTAATACTATAACTAATTATATAATTCTAGTATTTAAGCCTTTAGTAGAACTTTTAGATTTGAGTGCTAGGAGTATTTCACAGGCTTTATCCATGGCCGCATGAGCTTCCTTGTAATTAGCACACTTGGGAGCTAGGTGTAAGTACTTTTTTCCTGTAGATTCGCAGCTAGGGCAATAGTGTTACTTAGTTGAGTAGCTTTTAGTATAAAAAGTACATATAAGAGCTTTTCTACAGTAGCTTTCCAAGTGCCTAAAGCCTAGCTACTTAGTATACTGTGTAGTTAGAGTAGTAGTATAGAGCTTTTCAATTTGTACATTTATCCCAGCTATATAGAGCTTATTTCGAATAGTTCTATTAGCTTCTTACTCTGTAGCAAAAGAGGGAGCTATTGAGCTAGTTAGCTGATTTTACTAACGTTCTTTAGACATAAGCTAATAAAACGTTCTAATTAAGTTCAGGCTAGTATTAAACATTTTGATCTTATCAATAATTAGAACTATATTCTCAGGGGTATTGAAATCGGTAGTAGGGATCCTGTAGATAGCTACTTTGAACTAAAGCTTATCTTTATATAGCGTTTAATTAGGTACTATATACTCCCAAATAGTTCTTTTTTCGATTAAGAACTCTGCTATATAGTTAAGTGTAGTTGTAATAACTAGATTCTTTTTCAGAGATCTAGTTACTGAAATAACTACAAAGCCTTTGATTCCTTTGTCTATAAAAGCTTTATTCAGGGCATTTCGGGCTACTAGTAGGGAGAACGAAGTAGTAGTTCTAGGAGTTTGTGTGACGATAAGCCTATTCGGGCTAGATTGTTCCGATTTAGGCAGTGTAGCTTGTTTAGGCTTTCTGCCAACTAAAGTCTATTCTTGGAATGTTTTCGGGGCTCCGGAGTCTTGATTTGCAACATTTGCAAAGGACAGTATAGTTAAGTTGTTCTTTAATGTCGAATTGGAGGAATTGGGAGCGTTTGGGCGTATAGTTAAGTTTTTACTTAACTGATCGGATTCAGGGGCAGGGCGGGTAAGGCCGGCGGCACGTGAGAGGCTACGTAACTTTGTTTCGAGTTGCCAAATAGCTGATTCTAGATTTGAGATCTGGGAAAAGATAATCTTAGAAGTTTTTTGAAAGTAGCTGTGTTCAGTAAATTCTCTAAAGACTTCTAAGAAGTCTAAGAGTTTAGACTGTTCGGTACAGGCTTTAGTGAAGCTGTAAGCTTCGATAATCAGGTCTCTAGCTTCGAGTATCGCTGTACTAGTAGTATAGGTGGAAGTGTCAGAGCTAGAAGCTCGGATAATTTCGAATTCGGAGTCGAAGTCGGAGTTGGAGTTTGAATTAGGCTAGTAGCGGTCGCTTACAGTATCCGGGCAGTTGGGACAGTTTAACGCCGGTACCCGACTCCGTGTAGCATTTCCAGGGGGTATAGTGACTCTGGGTCGCTTCCGAATTAGGCTAGGGACGAAAAAATTTTCGATCTCAGAGGCGGAAGCTAAAGAGTCGCTGGAAAGGAAGTCAAATTGAGGTTCAATAATAACAGATTAGATAACGTCTTTCGGAGACGCTGAAATTCGAATTACAAGTAGGTTAGAGCTAGGGCTAGGTGCTTGCTCTATTTCGTCCGAATTGACGAAGTACTGGGGCAGTGAAGAGGGCGGCAGCTCCAGAGGGGGCTCCTGGAAGAGCTCCTAGGGAGTCAATAGATCCGAACTCGATTCTATTTTACTCAACGTTTATATACGAATATATAAGACGATAAATAAAACGAATAGAGTGTTCTTCGAAGATATAAAGAGATTTTGGGCCGAAAGTAGAAAGTTGATTTTCGTCGAAAAATGTTATTTCATTTATTTGCTAATTTCAGTTATTTAAATAATTCCGATTTAGTAAATTTAGCTAAAGTTATTACTAAGTATTTTCAAATAATATAAACTAGTTTAATTATCTGAATATTTATATATATTTTTTTCGACAAAAATCAACTTCCTACTTTCGGCTTAAAATCTCTTTATATTTTCGAAGAATATTCTATTCGTCTTATTTATCGTTTTATATATTCATATATAAATATTAAATAAAATAGAATCGAGTTCGGATCTATTAACTCTTTAGAAGTATTTCTAGGAGCTTCCTCAGAAGCTTTTACTTTCTCTACTATTTTAGTATTTCGTTAATTCAGACGAAATAGATGTTACGAATACTAACTTTATAGCTTGAAGCTCGGGTAATGTGCAGCATCGCTACAGAGAACTATGAAGGTATGTAACGAGGTCATGTGACAGCAAGATCACAGGTCGGGAATCAAGTAATAGATAAAGGGGATAGTTGAAGCTATCTAACTATCTAGTTTATCCGATTTGCGAACGAATAGCTAGTGTTATCTATATTACCCAAAGAGTAGGAAGATTCTATATAAACGATATAATTTCTTTACTAGATAAAAGTTTCGTATTCAACTTAATTAATGAACTTGATTTCAACTTTGATTTACTAAAACTACTTTATTCTTGTAATTATTAAAAGTGATCAACCGACTTACTTTGCTATATAACAGAAACTTTATATAAACCGATTACTACTACAATAAATAAATTATCAGCAGACTATTATATTTTGAATACTCTTTTGCCGAAGTAAATATCTGATTACTATAGTTCTATAAACTCTATTATCTTTATCTACTAACTTCTTAGTAACAAACTTTCTTGCAATTCCAGCTTTAGTCCAAATAACTGTAAGATTTATCGACAAAGACTTCAAAGTTCCTCTTCCCGATTTATTCAAAGGAGAATATTCTAAAGTCAAAGCTTTTGTTATATAATATAAACTTTATATTAGATTTAATATTAGTCGTTTCAGCTCAGAAATCGAATAAATCTTCTAAGTAACTACTTTCTTGAAAGTAGAAACTTTCGAGTAGATCGAGTCTTTTTTAGAAGACTATATAAATAACAAAGTAACGAATAGATAACTTTCTACTTGTTATTCTACTAATATAAAAGAGATTTTTGGGAATTAAATAAGATTTAAGAAACGTTTTAATAGAGTTTTCGGAGATTTAAATAAGAAATATAATATAGTACGAATTCTTCG